GGACATCCTTTGCAGGCCTTGTGGAGGTCTTTGCAAGCTCTGTGTAGTAGCCTTGCTGGCATGGAGGGGTGTGTGTAGCAAATGGGACTAGGTGGGGTCCAGCGCTTTTCTGAGTAGATGCCCAGGCTCCATGTTAGCAGCCCTGCCGAAGGCCATACCCCTCCTACCTCCCCAGCCCTGAAATTAGCCTTGGCAATGAAGACACAGCCCTGGAAACAAGAATGCTGGGGCATCATCCCTCCCTGCATCCCTGCCATGTGTGTTTTCTGACTTCCCCCGTGGCGGTCTGACCGAGCCCCTGGCCATAGACACCCACCCCGGTGCCCATGGTCCCCCCAGCTGCCCTGTGCAGATACATGGCAACAGATCTGTGTCATGGAAAATGCACCAAAGCAACTGGGAGCTGGATTGACTCAAAGGGAGGGATGCGCTAAAGGTGGACTCTTGTGGCTCCCCCACCGCTGCCCACACACCTCACAGGTAGCCAGGCACCAGCTTCACAGGACACTGGGTACAGTCACTGGCAACAAGGTCATGGTTTTACCAATGACAGTGACTCTGAAGAGCTGACCTGTCGGCTGGGTTGTGTGGAGTGAGCAGTGGCTGTGGAATGGCATGATCCAGTTGGAAGTCAGGACCCGAGGCGCCTGAGCCAGATCACCCATGTTAGATGCCTCACAGGGAGATGGAGCCCCTGAAAATGATCTCAAGACCCTTTGGGGAAATGAGAGTCAAGGCTGGGCCAGAACATCAGGACCCAGTCGTCAGGACTGGCCACCCTCTGCGCCGCTGTCCTACTTTCTTTTCCAGGGTAGGAACCCCAAATCTATGGCACCCCCAATGTTACTCCATGAGGTTGTTCCCCAGCTTAGTCTTGAGAAAGACTCAGAAATACCAAACTGGCTTGATGGATGCCCTTCCTTCCCTTCCAGTTCAGTGCTAGGCTGTAAAAGAAAACAAGAATATATGGAGAGGGCCTCCCTGGTGGCGCAGGCGTTTGAGTGCTGCAGGGTGAAGCTCTCTGCAGCCTCTGCAGTGCGGGTTCGATCCTGGCCGGCCGGAGAGAATGCCGCATGGAGCAGCAGACCTCTCCTGTCTCACCCGCTGCTCCCCTCAGCAGTGTATTTCAGTCAGTCTGCCTGTTCTGTTCCCCGCTCTGTCTCTGGTGAATCCTCTCACCCTCCCACGCATCTAGCCTGTACCCTGGTTCTTGTATAAAAATAAATAAATCTTTTTTTAAAAAAAGAATATGTGGAGAAGAAAATCATCATCAAAACCTGTTTTTTTTTCTCAATACTGAAAAGTCAGTAATGGAATAAAGGGATAATATCTCGTAAGAATTACGGACCAGTGGGGTCTTTCCCCTATTTTGCAGATAGAGAAACAGACTCAGAGGGGCACCCAAGGGTGACCGTGAACAAACTAGGAGCACGGATTTAGTAACTATATCTGAAACTACACGTTTCCATGTTCTCCTGCTCACAAGAGACCTCAGAGTGGGTTTTATTCCTTGTCGCAATGTCCCTTTCTTGCAGCTCAAGGCAATAATTTCTAATATCCTCATGGTATGTCTTTATTCTCTCCCATATTCCCTGACCAGGGAATAGCCCATATTCCCTGAGAAGAATAGTAGTAGTTAAAGAAATAAATAACACTTATATTGTGCAGCAAAATGGACAAAGGTGGACCTAAGACTCCAATTTGAGAAAAATCTTTATTCTGCATAATTGATTAATCAAGCATGATGGCAGGATTTAAAGATGAAGAGGGCCTCCCCGGTGGCGCAGCGGTTGAGCACTGGGCTGCAAAGCTACCCGCAGCCTCTGCAGCGCCAGTTCCATCCCCGGTCGCCGGGTAAGGCTCCCACATGGTGCAAAGACCTCTCCTGCCGCCCGCTGCTCCCCTCAGCAGTGTACTCCGTCAGTCTGCCTGTTCTGCTTCCCGCTCTGGCTCTGGTGAATTCTCTCACCCTCCCGCGCTTCTGACTGTACCTAGTGCTTGTATAAATAAATAAATAAATAAATAAATAAATAAATAAATAAATAAATAAATAAATAAATCTTTGAAAAAAAAAAGATGAAGAAGTGGGTTCTGGAAACAAATGTCTCATTGGACATGTCTCCCACTCTGTGTCTCAGAACTTCAGCATGTCCCAGAATCTTCCCTCTGCCGATTAGAACAGGCCAGCAGAAAAAGGTCCTTCCCAATATTGAGCTAATTTGATTATCTACCCACTAGGCAGCATGTCAGAAAGCATGAGGGCTTTCTTGTCATCCTTACTGGTTCTCAGCACTTGTTCTGTGGATGGGGTGCCCCAAAACCCCCTCAAAGGGAGCACGACCCATGAACAGCCATGGGGTCTGGTTCCATTCCCAGGACTGTGCCAGTAAGCAGGGTCCCTGGCCTGCATGCCCAGTACTGGATGGTCCTTGTTCTACCCCAGGCCTTGAGTTCAGGGAAGATTTTTAACATTTTTGTATTCACATACTATAAAATTCACCCTTTCAATGTACAATTTAGTAGTTTTTTTTGGGGGGGGGATAGTCTTAGAATGTTACCATGTCACTATTTAATTCTTGAAAATTTTAGCACCCCAGAACCTCTTACCCATTAGCATTTACTCCTGGCTTCCTGCCACCTGGCCCCTGGCCACCTCTAATTCACCTTCCGTCTCTCGGACCCTGCATATTCTGTGGCAATTTCGTGTCGATGGTCTTGGTGTAGGAAGCTCGGTGTGATGGGATCAGACTCACAGTGAGGCAATCGAGGGAGGCTGGAATTTGGAGCTTGCTCTACTAACAGGCAAGCAAGGTCAATGTCACCCAGGGAATCTTTGCACAAGGAGCACACCTGAGCTTGCTCCCTTGCCTGTTCTGCCCATAAAGCCACAGGCTTACAAGAGGCGCTCATCAGAGGGTGAGAGCCTGGCGGTGGTTTTAACCTTGACTCATATTTCTCCTGGAAACTCTGTTGAGAATCGGCCTTCCCCACTCCATTTTGGAGTGTGCACGGCTGATAATTGCCTCTTGTGCAATTATCTGCCAAACCCAGTTGTTAATGAAATGAGTGATTTACTTATCCTTGTTAGTAATGGCCCGCGTTGTACAAAGACCCATTACTGCCTCCGAGAGGCTGGCAGGAATGCCCTGTCGAGGCACGAGCTGTCTCTACAATGCTCTCTCTGGGCTCAGCTTGACTGGGGAGGAAAGCCTGCCAGGGGCCGTGGGGTACAGCCTGTCCCCCGCTGGCCCTAGTGATCCATCAAGTGCCTGGAGCCTCTAGGAGTAAAGTGAGAAGAAGCCAGAGCTCAGCTCGTCAGTCTTGACCTGCAAAAGTGGCTGCATCCCTGTCAGCAGGAAAGGACATCCTAAGAGCTCAGGTGACATGTGGGTTCCCTTAGCACCAGGAGACATTTGGTGAATGGACATTGTCATCCAAAATTAGGCATCCTGAGCACCCCCTTCTCATATCACCCATAGCACAGCTTCCCCCCACCCCCACCCCACAGCCAAAGGGAACCTCCTTCCTTTGCTGTAATGTGGGGTTGCCTCTTGGTCCCTCTTCCTCTTCCCAGTGGCCATGCAGCTCTGCGCCTGTGTTACCACAGGCATGTGAGGTGTGGGGGAAGCCACCGGACGTGTCCGTTGGCTGAAGCCCAGTGAGGAAATGTTTCCAGAGAGAAGTGCAGGTGGAATGAGGGTCTGTGGCCCCTAATGCAAATGCAGGCATGTAACTAAGCATAGTGAGGGCCATGTTTCCAAATCAAATCCTCCCGGTGGGGTTTACCCCTCACTTCTAGTTCTTCCAGTCTCTTAATCCTCTTGGCCCTGGATGTGGATATCCAGGGCTTACACAGACATGGTTTTTCACAAAACCACAGTGCACTGTTTTGTCAGAAGGCAAAACTGAGGAATTCACTATTCCAAAGAAATGGTTCTAGAAGTCACCGTGAAATCACTGGGAGTGAGACTGGAACTGTGCTGCTGAGGCCTCTTCATCGGGCAATGTGGCTTCTGAACTTGGTTCTCCTGGTGTTTTATAAAGAGAGGAGAAGCGGGCCTCCCTGGTGGCACAAGGGGTTAAGCACCGCACTATGAAGCAATCCACAGCCTCTGCGGCACAAGTTCCATCCCCAGCCGGCCAGGGAGAAACCCACATGGCGCAGCAGACCTCTCCTGCCTCTCTGGCTGCTCCCCTCGGCAGTGTATTTCAGTTTATCTGCCTGTTCTGCTCCCCACTCTGTCTCTAGTGACTCCTCTCACCCCCCACACCTCTGGCCTGTACCCCAGCTCTTGTATGCATAAATAAATAAATGTTTAAAAATTTAAAAAAAAAAGAGAGGAGAAGCATGTGCCTAAGACAGTTTATTTGGACAAGTGGCAAGTTTAACGGCTTCATCTTGTGCACAGGGTGATAGAGGTGGGATCAGGGAAGAGGGTTGCTTAAGTCCTGGAATATCAATCCCCCAATATGCCAGCAACCCATTGGGAGCAGAGAATGAAAGCAGGGGTGTGTGAAATTTTAGCAGTTCTAAAAGATAAATGCTTAATCCCTACCTGTGTAGGAAAGAGGAGGGAGGAGGGATGGGGTGCAGGGAAACTGGAACCTGAGATGGAGGGCGTGGCCTGGGCTGGTGGAGCTGTCACCTGTGTGCAGTGTCCCCATTGCTAAGAATGCAGCGTTCAGGGCACCAGTCATGGGGGCACTAAATGTGGGGGGATGTGGGCATGCGCCTTCCCCTGGGTAGGGGCCATCCTACCTGACTTTCTCCTACCCTCCGCAGAGCTGTAGTCGTCATCACCCTTTGCCCTCTGAGCTGCCCCAGGGCTGTCTCTGGTTCTCGCTGTCCCTGGGCCTGTGAGGATGGCACTGTGCCCGGTGGGGCGGGGAGCTCAGGCTGGTGTCCAGTTCTCAGTAAGTGTGTGAGTGAGTGTGAGTGCGCACAGAGGCTGGAGGGCGTCTGCAGATCAGAGCAGGGTGGGGAGAGCATCTAGAAGGAAGGGCCGCAGCCTGGAGCCCCAGGATCTGTGACTTGGAACCACTGGCCTTGTGGCACCAACACCCTGAGCGGCCAGAACCGCATCAGTCACTGACCAGACGAGCCCCAAGAGGACATAGGGGTAAGTTGGGCTCTGGAGGGATGGGTTATGGCCCCTTCAGGGGGAGGCTGAGGAGCCAGGGACACCCAGAAAGAACAACTCAGTGCAAGCAGGGAGGGGAACTGGAGAGCTCTGTGTCTCTGCCCTGCCCCAAGCCTGCTGCACCGGAGCCAGATCCCTTTCTCAGGGCCCTGCCATCTGGGGGCTCTGCTGAGGGTGGTGATCCCAAGTAGGGAGCAAGGTGTGTGAAGAAAGGAGCGGAGCTGGGGCTGTGGGGGGTCCCCAGGGGTGCATGGTGGGTGGCTGTCCAGTGTTCGGGGGCAGCGATGGCAGGGAGGGAGGCCTGGCAGCTGGTGGTCCTGTGGGGGGCACTGAGAACAGGGTTTTGTGGACTCTCACCTGGCCCTGGCGGGGAGGGAGGGAAGAAAGGGAAGAGGAGAGAGGAAGTGCAGGGCGGTGGGGGCGCAGTTTGCATGAGAAACAAACCTTTCTTTCTTTCACTTGCAGGCGCTTGCAATGGCGGGCACCCTGGACGAGCTCTGGCGCCAGTGCACCTGGGCCTTAAACAATGGAGGTAGGAGATAGAGACGCCCAGTGGGAGCTTCACCCCCTTTTTCAGTCCAGTCTGATGCCAGACATTTGGAAGAGCCAGATACGGTGATGAGCGAGGCTTGGGGGTGGTCGGGGCTGGTGTCCTGTGGGCGTGGTGGCCAGCAAGGCTGTCTCTGTCCCCTTTGCTTTCCTAGATCCTAGAACTGATTCCTGGTTCCTGGTGCACTCGCCGCTCCCGGTCACCCTCCTCTTTGCCTTCTATCTCCTCCTGGTGGTGGCAGGTCCTGCCATCATGAGCCACCGGGAGCCTCTGAGGCTGGCTGGACCCCTGGCTGCCTACAACCTGGGCCTAGTGCTTCTCTCCGGGTACATATTCTATGAGGTAAGACTGTGGGGAGCCCTGAAGAGTTCTAGGGCCACTTCCTTTTCGGGGTACTCAAGAGAACGCTGGAAGTGCCTGACAGGAGCAGGTGAATTCCCTTCCCTCTCTGTCTTGCCTTCCTATAAGACACAAATCTGCCTCACCGACTCCCTTTGCCAGGCTCGTGGAGGTTAGTGGCAGCAGGAGTGGCATTTCTGATCACCTCGCACTTCAATACCCCACCACCTCCTGTTTTTCCCCGGCTATGTGGCCTCTGCCCAGTTTTCAGAGCCCCAAGCCCAGGGTCCCTGCCAGACACTCTCAGTCGCTGTGTAAGGAGCTCACATCCAGGAGGGGCGAGTGATGTGGCGATGTGGAGACCGGTGATTTTAAGCCAGTGCCAGCACGCGTGCACCAGGGACAGGCAGGCAGAGGCGCTATCTGGGCCTGGGCCTGGGTGTTGGGAAAGCTTGTCAGAGAAAGTGGTCACAATTGGTGGCATTTTAAGCAGTAATGATGGTGAGACCTGCTCCCAGCACTTCACATAAATTGGCTTGTCTCATCTCACAATTCCACTACCCTGGGGCACAGAGGGGTTAAGTAACTTAGCAGGGGGCAGCAGGCAGGGGCTGGATTTGCACACAGCACAGGGCCTGCAGCCTCACCACCACCCCTGCTCCAGCAGAAGCAGCAGGTCGCAACGGCCAGACTTCTTTCACCTTCTCCCTCTTCCTGATTGCTCATGTTCAGTCCATGCTCTAGATCCTAGAATTGTCTTCCCTAAATGCCAAAAGCCACATGCTACTGCCCTGCTTGGCTCCCCAGCTCTCCCCACCAGCAGGGGCAAAGTTGAGCCCCTCTGGCAGACACTTAAACCTTCCTTAGTCCTTCCATGCCCCAGGCCTGGACACATGACTGTCCAGTCACTTCTCCTCTGGTGCCCTGGCAACCCCTCACCCCACAACCTTTACTCTCAGGCCGTTGTCACCGCTCTTGAAGCCGTCCCTGGCTCCCCACTGTCAGGTTGTTTTCCTCCTTAGCTTTTCATATCTCTTCTCTGTGGAGGATTGGGGTGGGCTCCCCCAGCTGGTGAGCATCTTACCGTGTTTCCCCACCTCTGTTTTGCAGTGACTTCCCTCAGTAGCTTGAAATCAGCACTGGGAACAGAATTTACACCAGGTCAATTGGCCAAAACTACAATCCGCCCCCGAGCCTACCAAGTGCCTACAAAGCATTTACCCACACCACTGGCCGCAGGTGGCTTTCCTCCCCTGTTTTAGGAATTGCATAATAGTCCCCCTCAAAACTGCAAGTGCAAAGCAGGGCCCCATCTCACCTTTTAAAGACAGGCTCAGCATCATGGCTTGTACTGTGAAGCAACCACGGGTAACTTGGAAGACATGCCCTAACCAATGGGTCCCTTAATAATGGTGGCACATTACTCTCCTGCCCCCTAAATCCTTTGAAAATCTGTTATGCACAAGCGAGGCCCCTGCTCAGAGCCCTCAGTGGTGCCCTTTGCCTCTATGATCCTTCAAGTAAGGACGTGCGTGTGTTTTGTTGTACTGTGGTGGCTCGGTGCTCAGTACACTGCCTACAATGGCATTAGTCTTGGTTAAACCATCACTGTCAAACAAATAAATAAATGATAAAATTCAAGCTCCTTAAAACAGCCTTCAAGACCCCTCCATCTGTGTGCACCTAAGTTACAGCCCCGCCCAGTCCTCATTGCCCCTGGTGACATAGAAGAGGTCCAGGCCCCATGAGTGATCCTCCCAGCTGCTCACTTTTTTTTTTTTAAGATTTATTTATTCATGCATACAAGAACCGGGGTACAGGCCAGAGGCACGGGAGGGTGAGAGGAATCACCAGAGACAGCGGGGAGCAGAACAGGCAGATTCACTGAAACACACTGATGAGGGAGCAGTGGGTGAGACAGGAGAGGTCTGCCACGCCATGTGGGATTCTCGTCGGCCGGCCAGGATTGAACCCATGCTACAGAGGCTGCAGACAGCTTCACAGCGCTGCGCTCAACTGCCTGCACCACCAGGGGAGGCCCCCAGCTGCTCACTTTTTGCCTGAGGCTTCCCCGTTCTCCACTACTAACTTCTGGAATATCTCCTTGTCCTACTCTTCATCTGGCACCAGCCTTAAAAGTACAACTGTTCCCCCCATTCTCATGAGACTCTGAGCTTCCTGGGACAGGCCATCTCCGTGTCTCCTCTAAGCCCTTTAGCACTTCACTTAGGGTCTCACACATAGTAGTTACCCTGCGTGGATTTGTGGTCTAAGAACAGAGACCAGGCACATGTGTGCAAGTCCCAGCCTCTGACCTGGCCTCTCCATGGGGTTTATGTGATCAGCAATCATTCATCTAGTGCTGGGGAGGACCGAGGAAGGTTAGGGAGGGTAAGGGAGGACCAGTGCTATCTAAAACACACCTGATGGGCCTCTTCTGGTGGCTCAGCGGCTGAGCACTGGGCTGAGAAGCTGCCCACAGACTCTGCAGTGCCGGTTCAATCCCCGGCCAGCTGGCGAGGGTCCCACATGGTGCGCAGACCTCTCCTGCCGCCCACTGCTCCCCTCAGCAGTGTACTTCGGTCCTTCTGCCTGTTCTCCTCCCCGCTCTGGTTCTGGTGAATTCTCCAGCGCTTCTGACTGTACCCAGTGCTTGTATAAATAAATAAATAAATATAAAAAAATTAAAAAAAAAAAAACACAGCTGGAGGAGGTATTGACCCTGTGGGCCCAGAGCCAGTTGGGGCTCAGCAAAGTGGGAACGGCCTTTCTCATGCTTCCTTCCCCCTTCCTTCCAGTTCATGGTCACCTCCCTTCTGGCCAAGTACAGCTACTTCTGCCAGCCGGTGGACTACAGCCAGAGTGAGCTTGGAATAAGGGTATGGCCCGGAGTGGAGCGAGAAGAGCTCGATCAAGGACGTGTGATGGGAGGCAGTGAACCCATTGGTTCAGCACTGGCTCGGAAGACCTCAGTTTGAGTCTCACTGTGCTAGTTGCTTGCTGTGTGACCCTGGGTAGCTTACTTACCTTGTCTGGGCCTCCATGTTCTTACCAGTGAACGAGAATAATAATGTCTACTTAAGAAAAGGAAGTGATTGCAAGAAATGATTGCAAGGAAATGATTGAAGCAGAAAATGCGTAAATATGTTTAGTGCTGGGCCTGGCACATATTGAGTGGTAGGTGTTTCATTATGGAAGCAGAACAAGAGGCTTCCTTGCAGCAAAAAGAAAAAAAAATCTAGCTGAGACTTGACATGTTACCAGGCGGTGATGGGGCAGCTGCATCCAGGGATGTTGCGTGCAGAGCCACAGCGCCACCTGGTGGCTTGGTGGGACGGCAGACGCTCCTGTCCCAGCCTGGGAGCACGGATTAAGAATCAGCCTTCCGTTGCTGCTTTGCTGTGTTTTGTACTGTTATTATTTTTTCTTCACACTGATGTCTTATTTGGTTCCCTAGTCCTATTATAAGTGAAACCATCTGATATTTTTCTTTTTCCTTCTGGCTTATTTTACTGAGCATAAATCCTTCTAGCTCCATCCATGTTGCTGTGAAAGCCATGAGTTTATCTTTTTTGATTGCTGAGTAATATTCCGTGGTGTATATATACTACATCTTCTTGATCCAGTCATCTATTTTTGGGTATTTGGGTTGTTTCCTGGTTTTACCTATTGTAAATAGTGCTGCGATAAACATAGGGGTACAGGTGGTCTTTTGAATCGTTTTTGTGTCCTTTGGGTAGATCCCTAGGAATGCACAGGTGCATTGGGGAAGGAAATTCTATGGGGATTAAACTTGAGGGGGTAGATGGAAGCAAATATTGTTTAAAAATGATCACTGATGTAAAAAGAAAATAGCAAAAAAAAAAAAAAAAAAAAAAGAATCAGCTTTCCAACAAACAAGATCCCTAGGACACTAAATGCTCCTTAGACAGCAGGGCTCTCTACTGAGGGGTGCTTGGTCTTGGAGAGAGCTTCTGTTAGCGTTCCCGGTAGACCTGCCCCTCTGTCCCTCTCTAAAAGGAACCTCCCTGCAGAGAGGTGGGCACTGTTGGGCCAGGACATGCAGAAGGGCAGTGGGGATGGGACAAAAGTCAGCCCCACCAGGGTGAGCAGCAGGACAACATCTGGCTCAACTTCTCCTTCCTGCCCAGCAGATGGCGAGCGTGTGCTGGTGGTGTTTCTTCTCAAAGGCCATTGAACTGCTTGACACAGTAAGAATAACTTCTCTTGGACATCCTGCAGGGGAGGAGGAGGGAGAGGGATCAGAGGGAGGGAGGGAGGAGCTCAGGGGACTGTGGTGATGGTGCACGGGTGTCTTAGGGAAGGAAATTCTATGGGGACTCAACCTGAGGGGATAGGGGAGAAGCAAATATTGTTTAAAAATTAAAAAAAAAGAAATAAAATTCCTATATAAGACGTTAAAAAAAAAAAGAATCACTTCTCTTGTTGTCTTGGACAGACAGGTTCTATCAGCTGGGTCTGGGGGCGTGTATGTGGCACCTTCAGTGTATCTGGTGGGTGTTTTCAGAGTTTGCTCAGGCAGCCGTGCCTGAGGCTTATGTCAGAGTCTGGCAGGGGAAGGATGCTCACAGAGGTAGCCGCTCACCTCCACAGGCTCCCTCAGGCCTCTCTACATCCATGCACAGGAAAAAGTATGCTTTTAACCCCACAGGCAGCCGAGGTCCAGGGTAAATGAAATTGAACTGATATGAGGCAGCAGGGGTCACCAGATAGTAAAAATCATAGGTTCAGGAGGAGATTAGTTTTCCTGCATGTGAATCCAGGAGGCTGGTGGGACTGAGTGCGGTGGGCAAGGTCATAATTTTAGGACAGTGATGAAAGGAAGAGATTCTTTGCTCTCTCTTGCAAAATGGAGTCCAAGTAGAACACGTTAGGGAAGTTGCCTTACAGTTACCTGGGTGTTCAACCCTGAATTCTCTCCTAAGAGCCCTGGGATGTGTGTTGGATGCTGCAAAGAGCGCAGTCTCTGAAGCCAGGCTGTATTCAAATCCAGATGTGACCACCTACTAGCTGTGTAACCTTGGATAAGCGCCCTAACCTCTCTGTGCCTCGGTTTGTCATCAGTAAAACAGAGATAAGAAGACTATAAACGGGGCCTCCCTGGTGGCGCAAGGGGTTAAGTCGCAGCACTGTGAAGCTATCCGAAGCCACTACAGCACAAGTTAGATCCCCAGCCAGGAAGCTACCCACATGGCACAGCAGACCTCTCCTGCCTTGCCCCTGCTCCCCTCAACAGCATGTTTCAGTCAATCTGCCTGTTCTGCTCCCCACTCTGTCTCTAGTGAATCCTCTCACCCCCTACACCTCTGGCCTGTATCCCAGCTCTTATATGCATAAAAAAAAACTTTAAAAAAGAGATCATATACCATACTGTGTTATGATTTTTATGCATACAAAATACCTGGCACACAGTCAGTGCTATGTAGGTATGTGGTTGCTATTTCCCTTGAGTTTACACCTGCCCTTCAGTAACACGGACAGAATCACCCTGTTCCTCCAAGTGGCAGTGGAGGCTCTAGGAGGGTCTGGTCCCCAGTGTTGACATGTTTCTTCCACTCCAGGTCTTCTTCATATTACGAAAGAAGCGGGAGCAGATCACCTTCCTGCATGTCTACCACCACGGCACCATGCTCTTTAACTGGTGGGCTGGAGTCAAGTATGTGCCCGGGGGGCAAGGTAAGCAGCGTGTGGGGTGCCTCCCTGCCCTCACACGGTCTGGCTCCCCTTCTCTGCAGCATGGAAGCCAGGTCTCTGCTCCCGCTTTATCTCCATTGTTCCTCCGGGGGAGGAAGAGGAGGCAGGTGGGTCATGCGCACAGCTGTCAGGCCAGAGATCACGGAGGGAGTTAGGAGGGCTCTCACTTAGCAGCCTGGAAACCCCAACCTGGAATCACGACTGCCCTCAGGGGCACATGCCAGACCTCCTATGGCAAGGTCTTCTCAAGGATTTTCTCTGCAGGGTTCCCAGAGTTGCTCTGGGCAGCTTAGAGAGAATGAATGAGCAAGCCCAGACCGCAGTTAGGCCATGACTAGGCTATTCTCTACCTCCCCTGCCCCACTCTGCAGCCTTCTTTGTCGGGATGCTGAATTCTTTCGTTCATGTCTTCATGTACCTGTACTACGGACTGGCCAGTCTGGGGCCCCACATGCGGCGCTATTTGTGGTGGAAGCGACATCTCACCACCCTGCAGCTGGTGAGAGCCCCCCGCCCCCACTCCCACCCTGCAGCTAGTGAGAGCCCCCACCCCCCAGTTCTATGCTGCACCCTGGGTTCTGTTCCAGCCTGTCCCAGGGGCTTGATATCTGACCATGAACAGGTCCTTCTTGTTGGGGCTACCTTAATTTCCCAATTTGCAAGGGTCTCAGTAGCTATCTTGTCAGATCCTAGAACCAACCCAGCTCACTGACTTGATGCAGGACCTGGAGTCTGTGGCTGTCATACTTCAGGCCTCAATCTCATCATCCGTGAAATGAGGAGGCTGGACTACATGACGGCAAATACCCTGCAAGTCTGTGATCACTGACTGACCCCAGGAAGACTCTTAGGATCACAGTTAGGGAAAAAATGGGAGTCATGCTCCACTAGGTGTCACTGGTTTCCTCTTTCTGAGCTAGCGGTGTCTCTCTCTGCTGTAGACAGAACTTCAGACAGGAAGGGCGAAGGGGACCATCCTTTTTTGCTCCTCAGCATGTCTCTCACTGCTCACCCATCTCTCTCCTCTCGCTCTTTCTCTCTTGCAGGGTCAGTTTGTGGCCATTGCTGCCCACTCTTCCTACAATCTCTTTGCTGAGTGCTACTTCCCGGATGGGTTCAACATGGCTGTCCTCCTGTACTCCCTCAGCCTCATCCTCCTCTTTCTCAACTTCTACCACCAGACATACCTCAGGGGCAAGCAGGAGAAGCTCACTTAAGGGACTGGACCCCAGGAATGAACCAGACAGCCAGCGGGGCTTGTAGCCCACTGGTGCTAAGTAGATCCCTCTGATACTGCATTTCATCCTGTGAAGAAACAATTGCCTTCTTTCCAGACAGAGATCAAGGGGAAAGAAATGGACCCTACGTCCTGTACTGACTTCGGTTATGGCACTTCCCAGGTGGATTTGTAACTATGAATCTCCTTTCTTATTAAATGTAAGCCCCTCATGGGAGGGACACTGTTCTTCTCTATGTTCCTACCTGACACAACACCTCAATAAATGTGCATGTGGAACCTTGTCCTCCATGACTGACAGTCATGAGCTCTGGTGATCAGGGCTGGGAGTTAAAAGAATTCAAGGCTGGTTTGATATCTAACTTTGCAGGGGAAGCCATGACAGGATATTTATACCAAGCATGTGTCTGTTTGATGCCAGTATGGTTATGTGAATGCCTGCCTGTGCTTGTTTTCTTGTCTGTTCACTGCTACTTGCATGTGCATTAATATAGTTGTGTAGTTCTGTGTTTGTGAACGGGAGACAGAGGGGCATAGGCACATGTCTGAATACTTGTTTACAAATATACGTGTGTTTCCCTGTGTGTTTCTCTTTGTGTTTGCTTGTCTTCTCTGTAAATCTCTGAAAGCATCATGGTAAATAAAGCCACCACTGGGTGATAACTCTCCTGTCTCAGATAAGAGACATGGAATTCTACCGGGAGATCTCTGAACACATGTTGCACTGAGAACTTTCAAATGGAAGAAAAGTCAAAACACACGCAGCTAACCCTATCACAGAGAGGGAAGCTGAGGAGCAGCAGAAAGGAATATACAACTGAGATCAGAGTATAGCAGAAGTAAACTTCTGCAGAACCTTTTGAAACAGGAGCTGGATGAATCACTGGAAAGCATTTTGCCCGGGAGCAACCTCCCACGTGCTTGTTCTTCTTTACAATTTCTCTCCTTAGCTCCTTCCCTCTGTTGTGGTTTTTGGAGTTTGTGGGTTTGCAGAGCGGGGCCCTTGGGTTCACCCTGGGAAAGGTGTCACCAGAGCTCCCATTTCAGCGGCACACAGCAAGTTTCCCAGGAGAGTTTCTCCACGAGACAGACGTTATATTTAAAGGGCAGGTTTATTAGGGAAGGGATAAAACAGTGAAAGATACTTGCAGAGACACAAGTGGGCAGGAAGAGCTGCCCAGAAGGGACAAGTTTGCTGAGAGAGGCCTGCATGGTTGCAGGGGGGTGGCCTTGACAGGTCACGAGCAGGCAGGAGGCTACTGTACTGCAGAGGAGAGGGTTGGTGAAAAGAGGCACCCGCATAGTCACAGGTGGGCAGAGGGAGTGTTACAGGGCAGGGAGAGGGGCAGCCCAGACCCCGCAAACCTGCCTGCTGTAAATAGGTTCTGTCATCCGCCACATCAACACAAAACATATGAGACTTTCATGGGAAGGAACTTTAATAAAATTAGAAACAATACAGGAAAGGCAAAGAGTCTAGTTTCTAAATCAAGCACCCAAAGTTACCCGTCCCCTCGTGAGTAAAAGTCTATCCAAATGGGATTGGCCCAGAGCAAGGCCTTGGGGCCTTGCTCAAGCCTGCCACAAGTCTAAAGCAGCTTCCAGTAGGGACCCACAGAAAAGGATCAGAAACAACCAGACAAGTCTGGAGGGAAAAGAGTAAAATGAAAATCAAGACAAAAACCACCATTGTCACCTCCCCATGGGTCTCTCACCCACTTCTGTGTCACCCAGTCCACGACCAAAAGACAAGCGCAGTTTCTTCACATGTCTCTCGGCTCCAGGCGCCTCCTCCAGGTCTCCTTCTGGCTCCATCCTGCTTCCTTCCTTCCTCAGTCTCCTCTGCAGCTTCTTTTCTACCTGCTCAACTCCACCCTCCCTTGGGTGGGGCAGGAAACCTGGAACCTCCCCCTTTCCTGGGGACCACCCTGTTACAATAGTGCTGCCCAGAGCCTGTGCAGAGACTGCACAGATACAGTCTTCTTCTGTTTGGGAGGGGTCACCCCTTGTGAGCGGTCAGTTTGTTGCTGATTTTGGATAACCATGCAGAATCCAAAAGGGACCAGAGACTCCAGCATGGTGAGTGGAGATTCCAGGGTGGGCCCAATCTCCATATCTTTACCCTCAGGCCTGTGGTCCACTCCCTGTAGCATCTGATCCTGCTTTGGTCTTATGCCTTGTGATAAGGCACAGGCGCCTGAGGGTCACGACCTCTACAGCTGGGTGAAAGGTCATGTTATTGGACTCTACCCCCACCTCTTTGTGAGTCAGGTTGTGGTCTTGGGCACCTCCTTTCCAGTCTTTCTATTCTTGTCCTCCATCAGCTCCACTAGGTAAGTTCTTATTCTGTGATGCTTCAGCAGCCAAGGACATTAAAGAACGGTTGAAGGTTAAACAATGCTATTTAGGGACTATTCATTCACTGGGTACTCTAGCTAATTAACTCAAGGCCAGGCAGGGCTGCATCCTGTGGCCAGGATCCTTGGAGAAAATTTCCTCTAAGTTACACAGGATATGAACACATCCCACACAGTTTTCCTTAGGCAGGTTGAACGCCTTGGAGGTAGGTGCCTATTTAAGGCAAACTTTTTTTTTTTCCTAAACATATTGGGCTAGAGTCTATTCATTTGCTTAGCAGCAAGGATAAGGGGAAAATTAGCCACTCCAGAGGTCAGAGCTAATATCTGTCCAGTTCTTTGCAGCTGCCTCTACCTGATTAAGCAGCACATAAAATATCTGTCCTGGGTCATGTATGAACGAAATAAGGTTTTAACTGGGGACACCTTGGTGTGAGGCAATGTGATAGCCGGTGTTTGGGGAAAAATTCTCAATGAGCTGAAGGTGCCCCTTTAAACTCTACCTGGGACAGGAGGGGAGTGGGGATTTTTATCAGTGTAGATTGAGTGAAACTTAGAAAACAAAGTTATTCGTATTTGTCAGAATATTGCCAAATGCCTAATTAATAATGTGGAAGTTCACCTCTATAAACATCTTAAGATAATGCTAAGGGTGATGGTAAGGTTTTTAAATAGAGCAGGGCTGAGATTTTGCCAGAGAGTGTCCCTTTGCAAAGACTGGGAGGCCCAGAGTCAGGTGAGAATGTCCCATAGAAAGAAGCGAGGGGTAGCCTCCTCATCCCCTTGAGGCAGAAATGGTAATTTAGCACATTTCAGAACAAAATGACTCAAACCCTGTTCATCTGTCATCCTGGGTGCGACTAGTTGTAAAACCCCAATCTTATCTAACTAACAGGAGGTTAAGTGTCAGGTGGTTTGATACACAAACTGGTCAAATCTCATTATCCCATATTTTGTCAATTCCTCCCCTTTTGCTAAATAAAACTGGCTAAAGCCCAGTCTCTCATCTGTATATACCTGGCCCTTTTGTTAAGCAAAATCATCAAAACCCATTCAGGATCCCATCTGTGAGCCCTGCCCCCTCAAACTCAGCGAGTATTTGTTTGTATCAGTAGCCTTGAGACCCAAGGCAGGATTCTCTGAATCTGCTCTGCTCACCCTTGAGTGTGCACTGTCACTGACTCCCGCTGAAATCTCTTTTCTGCATAAAACCTAAGAATCTTGGGGTCCCTCAGCACCGCTGGGCCCCATCACCCTCACCTCTTATCAGAGTACAGTACATCTCACTTAACAGGTTGTTGGAAAATGTGATTTTAAGAGAAACATATATAATAAAACCGACCTGACAATAGGTTAATTGATATAAATAAAGGTTAATAATAATAATATCCTAGACATATTTCTGGCCACAAAGACATCACCAAACTTCTAAATAAAGACCCAAAGAACTTCTAATGTTGAACAATCATTTGTATTCGTTCCTTCATTTTCCAACCTGCTATTCTAGTTCAGGGTTGAGGGTGGCCAGAGCCCACTCCCGCAGCTCAGGGTGCAAGGAGGGTGCCCACACCAGACAGGATGCTCTTCCCACACAGGGGCACTCAGTTACACACACACACACACACACGTGCACACACACACATGCATGCACACACACTGGGATCATTGAGACACACCAATAAACCTCACACGCACATTTTTGGAATGTGGGAGGAAACGAGAGCACCTGCTCATCCTCCTGGCTTCTCCCACCTCCCCTTCCTTTTTATAAGGAGAACATCTGTGTTCATGGAAGTTACTATGTGCCCCACTGACCACAAGAACACATAGGATGAAAAGAGGAGAAGAAAGAAGAGATGTAGAAAAAATAAAAGTTACTGTCTACTTGGTTTTATGTTTTCCCCAGGGAGCTTTTGCTTAATATATAGACAGATAAAATATGCTTTGGTTGAAAAATGCAGAGTTAAAAAATGGTAAACAGATGCAATATGTGTATCTGAGCAATCTTATTGATAGAACAGGACGAAGCTTTCAGGGCCCTAGGATTTAGCCAGGTGCTGACATTTCTACAACCTCCTTCTCTTCACTGAGAAGTAATTGAGTCAGGCTTGAGCATCCCACTTGCTTTTTGACTGAAATAACTTCTTTCAGTGCTGACACTCAGCATAGCCTTCCTAACAGGAGTCCAAGGCTTATCTGGAAAAATCAACATCAGGAAATGAGGTGGTTGGGATTTTTCAAAATGCCTGCATCTAAAAGCAAGATGGAAGCTTGCTACCTGTCAGTCCTAGGAGCAGCAAAGGAAGACAGGGTGGTGATGGAACCCCAGCGTCAGACCTGAAGGTGACAACTCCCTACAACTGTTTTACAGGCTGCCACAATGGCTTAGGGTCAAGTCCCTGCAACTAGTTCTTTAATCACATATTCACGAAGTACTTCAGCTTCTCTGATCACCAGTTTCTACAACTGGCCTCCAGGTCACAGATGACCCCTCCTTTCCATTGCAATTCTATGGCCTTTACTTAGTAACGAATTTTAGCCCCAGCAAGAAATACACTTCTTACACAGTACTTAAAAAAAAAAAAAATCACGATTATACTTTATGATCAGGCACTGAAATATGTGTGAGTGGCACTCAGTATACACTGCACAGCTGATGTCTTCTGGGAGTTTGTTTTTTTTTAAGATGTTATTTATTTATGCATACAAGAGCCGGGTACAGGCCAGATTGTTGTGGGGGGGTGTGAAAGATTCACAGAAACAGAGTAGGGAACAGAACAGGCAGATTGACCTAAGAACACTGCTGAGAGGAGAAGCAGGAGAGACAGGAGAGGTCTGCTGCACCATGTGGGCAGCTCCCTGGCCAGCCGGGGATTGAACTCATGCTACAGAGGCTGTAGATATCTTCAGAGG